TAATTAACTCGAAATCTATTCGTTTGCTTACTTTTCACATTTTATTCATTGCATTTAAGGTTATAATACAAAGGATTTGTGTGTGGGTTATCACCTGGTAGTAACATATTTCTAATTTAGTGCAAGCATTTGGGTACGAAAAACTTATCTGCAAGATAACAGTTTGCTCACAGTAAACAATAATCTCGATCGTGTGACAATTTGAAAATAATGTATAAATTTTAACAGTATTTTAATAGTAATGTTGTCCTCATCTTATTAAACGAACAACAGCCAAAGTAATGGAGTTTAATGAGTAAATCAACAACGAAGAGGACGAAGAACGTGGAGTCGGGATGGAATAGGATTGTTCACAATTTTTTTGTATATGCAGTATAAATCATATAGACTCTTATTCGAAACGAAGGATTAATGCCGTTTTAACAAGATTTTAAACAAATAAGGTCCTCATTTGACAAAAAATCTCTGTTACAATAAAACAGGTGCCATTTTATTATTTTCGCTGCGAATTACTTCTCCATTTGTTATGATCCCTATGTGACCATTTGCTATTCCTTGAGTACAGCAACTGTTGGGAACAAAGAAAATAACCAAGAGAAAACTGTTAATCGACAACATTAAAGTTTATATGGCATCGTTGGATGAATTGTGTTTGAGCTAAGTTTTTAATATGGGGTTCTAAAAATTTATTGATTAACACTTGCATTTTTTTAATTTAATTTATTATATGCAAACAACTTTTTTTAACATCCAGTATTCTTATAACTAAAATTTATATTATAAATCTATTTCATAAAAAACAATAAGAAGCTACAAATACAAGTATAAACATTTCAAGAATATAAAATTAAAATAAAATTTTTTAATTAATAACAATTTTAATAATAAATAATAATAAATTTCTTGAAATTTGAAAACAAAGTAGAAGTAGAAGTCCATTCCGAACACTTTTGTGGTAGTTCAATTCAACTTTCCATAATTCAGTTCGCTTTGATGTAGCCATAACGGCAGTCTGGTCTGATTGTGTTATTATTGTTACTTAAGTTTCTTACTTCTATCTTTTTATTTACTTAACCAAGGATGAGTTGACACAAAGCTATTGTTTCGATTTCATTGAACTTGCTGACATTGCTACCAGAGCGTACAAACCCGTATTCAAACGTATTATGTATCTGACACTGTAGTCAAAGCTTTAACTGTAATCTGACTGCTACTGTTGATGTGTTAATTTACTGTTAAATTCATATAACATATTAGTGGCTAGCTACACTTACAGATTACAATGGGAAAAAGTGCAATTGTATTTTAATTACTGCTTAGTACGCAATTATGCATATTTAAATGCAGTAAAAAATTTTTCATTTATTTTTTACAAACTTGTATCTGAATACGATATTGTGTGAAATGCAGTCAAGAGCAAATAAAAAATTACAAGTGTATTTAATGTTTTTATCATAAACTTAAGTTGTCTGCTCTCTGCATTACGAACACGATTGACTGTTTTGTGAATATTACGAGTATACTATTTTATTTTATTAAAATGTTATACAGTGCATATTAGCATTAGCTTAGTATTCACTAGTTTCTATCATTAAAACAAATAGCTTCTCAAATTATTTCAAACCCATTTTAAAACATTAATTATCCTTATACACAACACATAGAAAGTGATGTGCAATATTAGATATAAGATATATTAAATATTAATAAAACTTCTAATAATTTATTGCTTTAATGACCAAAATTTTTAATAATAATTTTGTTTTTAAACCGGGCTAATTGGTAAGTTTTTAGTAATACACTTTAAAAAAAAAATTTAGTTTCTAAAATTTTTTTTATTTAAACCAATATTTAGACTATATTCGATAGTCATCTATAGAATCAGTAACTTGACCGAAAGTAGTATTCTAAAGATGACTATGGAATATATTCGAAATATTGGTTTAAATAAAAACAGTTTTTAAAAACTATATTTCTTTTAAAATAGTGCTTTATTTAACAACTTAAAACCAATATTATTACTAAAACTTCTAATAATATATAATATTTTCATTTTAATTTTTTGTTATTTTAACACAAGTACATATTGTGTCTAGAGTTTATCTTTAAAAAATAATACTTGATTACCTATAAAATTTCTTCTGAAATATTTTACAGAAAAAAACAATGATAGTAGGAAAGAAGTGTATTCTTGAAAAACAATAGAAAGTCAAATCAATCTACCTATTATACTTTAAAATATGGAGAAAACATGTTTGCTTCAATAAGAGGAAAATTCCTTTGACATTTGTACTATAAAAATTTACACATATATCATAACATACATATAGGAAGTAATTGGCGAAAAAATTGAGTCACTTTTCATATTTTTTCTCTGTATTCAGGTAAATGGGGATAATTTATATATTCTATAATTTAGCTTGATACGAGTATATAAAAATGATTTGATAAAACTATTGAATATATAGAACTTTTAGTTATATACATTTTTAGCAGATGCGGTCCAAAAATTATATACGGACTATCAAATCTTCAAATATTTTCCAAGATATACATACATATACATATTCATACACATATGAATATTTAGCATTATTCGAAACAGCTGTTAAAGTTAAGATATATATATATTCTTTAAGTAATCAGTCAGATCGATTAAAAAACCTAACTTTGTACTCTATTTTTATAATATTTTAAAAATTGTATATGAAGTACAAATTAAATGATTAATCTTTTTAATTTATTAGTACGTTTCCACACACTTCGTTAGACCAGTTAACTGAGATTCAAATAATTCAAGCAATCTTAAGTAAGTTAACTGGTCTAAAGAAACCAGTAGAAACATACTATGTCACAAATTTTTTTTTTTTTAAAACTAAAATCTTAAATAACTTATTTAAATTTAATAATGTGTGGTATGTTAATGTAGCTCACATTTTTTAAAGTAATTCGTTAATTTCAAGCCGTGTCTGTCCTAGCAGCTTATTACTTTCTATCCACGTTAATAGTATCGACACAGTTTTGTTGTTCGGTTAAATAAAATGATAATTAAATAGATTTAATAATGTTACTTATAAAACATGCAACAAGTGACTTTTAATTGTTTAAATATGATTCAAGCATGAGCACTCCTACATTTAGCGTATCGTTTTAGTTAAATTTATTCTTGATCAAATTGATTTTTTTTTTTGCATTAATATTGAAGCTGGATTATTTTTATTATTATACATGATATCAAATATATTTAATTAATCTTATATAATTACTAAAAGGCAAGTTTATGGATTATACCTATATGTAATTCTTGTTAACTTTACTCATTCTTCAAGGTAAAATGTGTAATATGTTAAGGTAGTAAACTTTTATCTATAATATAAGAAATTAAAAAAAAAAAAAATCGCAAATTGACAGTAACCTAAAAAACGTAGCAGTAGGTTCACAATGGATTTACTTTGAACAACGTACCGAAGAGCGATAAGATTGTATACCAGTTGAAGAAATGATATGCTTTGTACAAAAAAAAAATATTAGAATAGTTATGCGATATAAATGCAAAAATGACATCATCTAAAGAAAATACACAAAATTTAGATCAAAATCTTTTTTAAAATTGATTTGAATTTATAAGAACTAACTTCAAAACTATACTCAATATGAAGAATAGAAAAACGTATAAAATAAAATGGTTGACCCGAAGCCGATATTCAAAACAACTTATCTATGCAAATATTTTAGTTTTCTTATAACATACTACTGTACCCGTTGAAGATATGCCATATGCTTGCAGGACATATCTGAAAGAAGTAATAAGAATATATTAACACTAAAAATTAACACTAAAGATTATCTGAATATGAAACTATGGTTAAAAAGAAAGTATATAATTTGGAATGAAATGTAATGCAAGTATATAGCTTTCATCAAGATATTGCAAAATTTATATATTGCAGACCAAACATGCATGCTCATTTATTACACTCTGTGATAATACAGATAAAATAGGAAAAAGAGAATATATAACACCAGCCTAATTACCCCCAAGAACAAGGCTAAACAGTCATATACAATGAGGCATGATATTCCATCTTTCTCGAGATAACGACAAGACTCCTCATTTTAATTCGATTATTGCGCAGGCGGAGATAAATCGTTAGATGATAACAACTACGTTTTTTCTTGAGGGAAGATATCTCTTTAAGAATAATAGACTCATCTGTTCTTACGCTCGATAGTTATCTAAAATGTCGTAACAGTAACGTTGTTTTTTGCCTATTATTATGTTTTAGATTAGAATCTTCATTATAGACCAGAGAATACTACAATAAGCTGCTTCTGGTGTGCAGATGCGTTGGTTGGACCTGTTTTTGCACCTTCGCAACAATTAACTTTTTGGCACAATTTTAAAGAGTCCTATATATACATATTTAGTTTTTAATGCATCTTTAAACCCCCATAAATGGCGTAATAATTATAACCACATTTATATAGAATCTATCCAACGTTCATCGCAGTAAACTGGCAAGGACGTTACTCAACATTTGAGAAGTCACATATTATATTTGTAAAACACAAAAAAACAATATAAGATCAATTAAATCTAATTTCCTGTAGTTATTTCAATCTGTAAATTATAAATTTAATAATTATAAATTTAAATTATAAATTCAGAAAACAAAATATAAACATTTTTAAGCAATTGTTCATAAAATTTATTTTGTAATTAAAATATTTAACAACTTTAGCTGTATATGTTTTTGTTAATCTATTAAAAATCATTAAGAGGTGAATACTGCAGTGTAATATAAATAAATATATTCACAAAATTTTTGCACAAAAAATACTTTATATACATTTAACAAACAAAGAAAATTTTACGAGAATGCAAAAGATTAAGATACTGTAAACAAATCCATTATTATTCATAAGAAAAGTGAACGCCAATTATAATTTGTTTACATTTTATATACAACTTCTGATCAGAAAGGGTGGAACCCATATTCATTCAACCAATTTTTTAAATAATCTTTCTTTTAATTCCGAGAAATGATGTATTTGTCCGACATAACATGTGTTTTTGCGATCACGTATGTATATTTCCACAAAGTTTCACTCTTTTACTACTGAGTAGTACGGATACTCAGTTTAAAATATAGGAGAATACAACTCTCTTCAATGGAAATGTTTATATTTTCCAATAATCAAGTAACAAAAGTAGCAAAAACAATTGATTTTACTCAAAAATGTACCCAAAGCACTTAACTTCTTATCTCTATGCTATGGAAATGGACGCATAAAATCAATATCTGTTTCCTAACACAATTATTTTCAGTTTCATTGTACGTGAAAACTTTGCCTAGTCCATTTCGGGGACGTATTCAAGAATGAGTTCAAATAAAGTTTTTTGCAGCAGAACCGAAAAACTCCTATTGGAATGGGATTTACAAGAATTAATTCCTGAATTCAGACGTTCGTATGGCGTTTCTACTTTTTAATGTTCTTTTTACCTATTTTATTTTTAGGTAAAGGAATAAATGTGGAAGTTTTGAAAAGTCTTTCCGTGGAGGACATTGATTTATTGATACCAGAAGAAACTCGTTTCGGTTTACGAATTATTTTTAAGAAAAAATTACGTGAATGGAAAAAACAAAACGTAAGTGAAATTTGTTGCAAAAAGTAGTTTATAATTTCATTGCAACGTATGATTCAAAGATATAAAAATTATATATTAAAGATTAAATAGTATACAATAATTAAATTTCATTTGAGATATATAATACTCATTTTAATCGTGTTATTAATTTCAGAATTTTGGTGATATATCAAGTGATGGGATCATAGTTAATAAGACTTATGTAGACAACTCAGTAGCATCAAACAACGTTGTAGTTGTCAACATCTCACCATTTCCATTTTTACCAATTCTCCCATTGTCGTTTGCGGCTTTAAAGTAAAATATATCTATTTTATATATTTTATTTGTATTTAATTAAATAAATGTATTAATACACTATCCACATAAGAAAATTAGGCGTTTTTTTTAAAACATTACTACACATCATTTCTTGTTGACAAACATTACATAGCAATAATATGTATGTAAAATAATATTATAACATGAACCCAATTCATCTCATTTGAGGATCTATCTATAAAAGTTTAATATTAAAGTTAATTATTTTCAACCACGGAAGTAGATTACTAGACCCTATTACTAGATTTGGTAACGAGAACAAAATACTCAAAAAACGAACGAAGTATCATAGTTTATTATCTAATACCGGAGTCAGAGAAATGCAACTGGACCAATTAGATACATAGTGCTATATTTTGAAAATATTTCGATTATGATACTTGCATTTATCAGGATTATATTACCACATAAAGTGACATATCTGTAACTATATCTTGAATGTAGATATATGAGTTATATTTAATTAAAATATATAAAGTAATTTGATCAATACGTAATACGCATATAAGGCAAATATATAAACCATCAGTAGAATGATAAATAATTGATAGAAATAGTAGTGAACGTAGAGAGAACAGATCAAATCAATCGAGAAACAAGAGTTTGTTTATATCTCTGAGTTCTTTGTCTCTTCATTGGAAACAATTGGAATCGTTATTATTTTCCATTTAAACATTTGCAAAAACATTTGCATAATATTTCTCTTAAAAGTTTTGAGTAATTGTCTTATCTTTGTTTCGAAATTTTATTTATTCAATATTTCATGTTAAAATAGACTAAAAAATATTTGTATAGATTTTATATTTCAATTGCATTTCTCAATGTGAGAACACCGGTTGCCGCTTAACAACTTAGAATGGACTCCAAAGAAAATAAAACTTTTTGTAAAGAAACGGAAGATCTTTTACGTGAGTGGGATATGGAGGAATTAATTCCTGTTTTCGCAGGTGTTTAATAAAGTATAATACTGTTAAGAATCTTGTATATATACACACAGTATATCTATACCCCACTATATTGATTAAAGCTAGTTCGAACTTAATTTTATTAAGATATACTGTATTAATTTTCTTAGAAAAGCAGGTGGACCTGGAAGTTTTAAGAAATCTTACTGCGGATGACATAAATTTATTAATAGAATGTTTCGGTTTACGAATTCGATTTCGGACCAAATTAAATGAATGGCGGAAATACAATGTAAGTATTTTTCTAACACATGGCAACAATATTTCAAATAATATACTTTACAGGATTTACTTCCATCAGTAAGGAATATAAGCGGTAATGATACACAACTAGTCAGAAGAGATTTGGAGGTTATACATACCTCAGAAACATATGGAAGAAATTTTGCAGAGGTTTAAATTAAATTTTTCTTGATTTTTATTTTGAAATATAATTAAATTTTTATTTAATATTTTATTGTATATTTTTTTTTTGTAGAATATTGATATAACGAACGAATTTATGGAAAGTCCACGAGTTTCATATATTCAAACCAATAACATTATTTGGTCAAATAATACGTTTAATTTAAGTGGTCCGTTTTTAGATTATTGCAAAGAAATGGTAAGAGAGAAGTTAGCTGGTGCAGCGATTGCACAAATAATTCAATATTTTATGCGCAAATAAAATGATTATATTAAGAAATTGTGTTTATTTGTTTAATAAATTTTTTTAAAATATATAAAGATATCTAAATATATTCAATTAAGTATAAAGTTACATAAGGATAATAAAAATTGTACAAAAAAAAAAAAATAATAATAATAAAGACTACAAATCTTTCAACTGAATTGTTTATAAATATTTAGTATATGGGACTCACTTTCCGAAATCAATCTGTTTGGTAGTTTTTGAATCCATGTCATTCTCATATATACTTATTTAAAATTTGATAACTGAACTAATAATAAAATTTTATTCTATTGTTTGCTCTTTTGTTTAGTTTATTTATTTCTAAATTTTATCGGCTTGTATTCAAAAATTTCTTCATATAATAAATTGCCAATAACTGGACAGTTTGACAGACGTACCTATAGTGCTAGATCTATTCCTCGAGTCAAACTGATGAAAAACATTGGTATATAGAGTTTTCTTCGATAAAAACTATAGATGTTCTAAGAGGACACGTACATGAGTACAAAGGATATTATAATTCATACTAGTAGGAGATAGATACTACAGTCATGATTTTTATATAGAAAATGATAAAATATACTTCGCTTTTGGTAAATAATTTATTATGTGAAGAACATATAAAAAATTGGGCATTCTAGAAACTTCACTTTTTATGAGTGCCTAAATGAAAATTTCTTTTTTTTTTATTTCGAGTAGTGATAAGTTCGAACGTTTTCTCATATTTTTGCCAGTAAAAACTTATAAAGGAGAGAAGAGAAAGAAATTTCGAGTACCTCATTTGTTTCTTCATTGGAAAGTTTTAAATTCGTAACTCATTTCCATTTAAACATGGCAATATATTTGCATTATATTTCTCTTAAAAAGTTTGAGTACCTATCTTTAAGACTTATCTTTGTCTAGAAATTGGTTGAATAAATATTTCATGTTAAAATGGATTAGTAATGTTTGTATTAATTTAATATATCAATTGCATTTCTCAATGTGAGAACACCGGTTGCCGCTTAACAACTTAGAATGGACTCCAAAGAAAATAAATCTTTTTGTAAAGAAACTGAAATTCTTTTACGTGAGTGGAATATGGAAGAATTAATTTCTGATTTCGAAGGTGCGTATATGTATATACATATGTGATATATAGATAGATGGTATATATATTTTTATACTTAAAAAAAATCTTTAATCTTAATATTATTAAGACACACTCCTTGTATTCATCCTCTTAGAAAAGCAGGTGGATTTGGAAGTTTTAAAAAATCTTACTACAGATGATATAAATTTGTTGATAGAATGTTTTGGTTTGCGGATTCGATTTCGGACAAGATTAAATGAATGGCGTGAACGTAATGTGCGTATTTTTTGACACATTACAATAGCATTTCAATTAATCTATTTAACAGGACTTACCACCACTATTAAAGAATACAAATAGCAATGAGAGAAGGACAAATACAAAATTGGGTAGAAACCATTTAAGAGAGCCAAATTCCTCTGAACAGTTTGGAAGAAATTTTGCAGAGGTTTGATTTAATTTTTCTAGCTCATTTCTTAAATATATTATAATCGAATTTTAATATTTTGCTGTTTGTACGTTTTCTTATTTTAGAAATTTGACGCAATGAACGAAATTATGGGTAGTCATCAAGTTTCGTATACTCAAAATAACAACACAACTTGGTCACATAATACATTCAATTTAGATCTCCCAATTTCAAATTTTTTCAAAGGAAACGGAACAAGGAAATTAACCGGTGCTCAGATGAAGCCAATGATTCAATATCCACGCAAATATAATAATTAAATTACAAACAAGTTTCTTTATACCTTGTTCTTTTTCTTCATATATATGTAATGTCATATACACATGCTATATACTAAAGATATGCATTAAAATATTAAAATTTAAATATAAAAAATAAAAAAAAAACTATTATTTGGTATATAATTTAAATCCTGTACTGTAACTGAATTGTTTATATATAATGTAGTGGAGACAACATTCGAACATGATCCTTTTCTATTTTACAAATTCTTCAGGAAGTTTTCTATGCAGTTATTTTAACTAAGATACCTCGACTATTAATAGAATAAAGTGAAATTATAAAATTTTTTGAATTTTTATAAGCTTGCTATATGACATACTCAAACGTTTTTTTTAATTCCTGTCCATATTCATGCAATTCATTATGTTGCAAAATGCCGATAAGTGGGCAGACAGACAATAGACAGATGTATAGTATTAGATCTATTCGAACTATTCAAGGATATATAAAGTATTCATCAACATGAACTTAATATTTGGATGAATTTATTATAATTTTAATACCAAGCGTTTTGAGGGTTTAATATACATATTTTCATGATTATGTTTTAGTAGGGATATAGGTTGAGATGACAAAATAATAAATTATGATCATATATATATAATTCAGTTGTACTTTTAAAGGATTAAGAAAATCAACTTTATTTTTGGGCAATTATTTATTATGTATATGGCGAAATAATTACATATTAAAAAGATTGATTATATCGCTATTTTAAAAATTTAGTTTTCAGGATTTCATCATTGAAATTAATGTGTTGTTTTCACATTATTGAGATCTAATTCAATCTATTTATATTCTCTTTTTTGAGTACTTTTGTTTTATGTTCACTGGAAGTGCTAAATTCAACATTTCTTTCCATGTAAACATTGCAAATACATTTGCATTATATTCTCTTAACAATTTTGAGTACTTTTCTTATCTTTGTCCAGAAATTCGTTCAATTGATGTGTCATTTCTAGTTATAAATCCACATTTTACTCTTCATTCACATTTTTCAGTGCGAAAACATCGGTTGGTGGTAAACAATTTAAAATGAGTTTTAACAAAAATAAAACTTTTTGCAAGGAAACTGAAGATCTTTTACGTGAATGGGACATGGAAGAATTAATTCCTGATTTCGTGGGTGCGTAACAAAGCCACTTTATATATATATATACAAAATTTTTTGCATCTAATATTATTAAGACACGCTCCTTGTATTCCTTCTTTTAGAAAAACAAGTGGATTTAGAAGTTTTAAAAAATCTTACTGTAGATGACATAAATTTGTTAATAGAATGTTTCGGTTTGCGAATTCGATTTCGAACAAAATTAAATAAATGGCGTGAAGATAATGTAAGTTTTTTTTATGAAACATGACAACAATATTTCAAATAATATACTTAATAGGATCTACCTTTGGTAATATCGAGTGCAAGCAGAAATGAGAGGAGAACAAGCACACATTTGGCTAGAAGACATTTTGGAAATTTACAAGCTTCTGAATTCTTTGGAAGAAAGTATGGAGAGGTTTGTCTAAAAGTTTTTTGTATTTTTAAATATAATTTAATTAATATTTTGATTTAAATCATTTTTTTTCTGATAAATTTTATTTTAGAATTGTGACGAAATGACGGAAAGGCCTAGAGTTTCATATACTCAAAATAACAACACATATTGGTCACATAATACAGTCACATTAAATTTAAGCGGTCCATTTCCAAATTTTTTTAAATAATAAATATAATTTATTAATTAATTTAAATAAATAAATAAAGATTAAAATTACAAACTTTCAAATTGCAATTTGTTAATAGATTGTGCGTGAAAATGGGACAAGTTTATTTATTATTAGGAATGATTTGAAACTTTACTATCAATAATAGCTGAACTAAATACAAATAAGATAAATGCTTTCATTTATCTTAAGATAGAGTGATCCATTCCCAATTCTTATTTATAAGATACGGGTTCTGTCATCATCTTTAGCGTATTGATCATTATTATTAGTAGCGCAACGATCCTAGTTGAATCTTGGCCTAACTTTAGCGTATTAGTTATAGAAAAACCTAGGCCAGTTGAAAAACAATAGCCCACAATTCTTATAGATTTTTTGTTTTTATTTCCAGCTCGTACAGTCGTCCAAAATATGGGAAATTATGGTACTTTTTTGAATATGTGGTAATGAAGAATTTGTTATTTCATGTATTCACCTAAAGAGAGGATTTCTAAAAACTTTTCACCCCAGGACTCATGATTTAACAATGTATGTTTGTTAATCTGTCCTTTCTATGTATCTGTCTATTTTAACGCATTAGTATTTAAATTTTACGGAATGAGTTTTTCTAAATTCTTCTTTTTATATTCTCTACGTCCTATAAATTTTCTGGACTTAATTGCTTTCAATACAACAAATTATTGTGTAATTTATTCTTTTTGTTATTTAACTTATTTAAAACTTTCAATTTTAAAATAATGAACATAATAAATCACTGATATCAATTGAATATTTATTTAATATATCATTGAACAGCATTTACCTTTTTCCCTCAGACTACATAAGTATATAAAATCTTTAACAAATCAAAGCTAAATTGAGCTAAATTATATATAGAATTATGTGTCTCCATAGTGAACTGGTTATTTTCGAGAACAAACTGTATATTTTGGAAGACATTTAGACGACACAATGTTGTTGTTTTTGTGTATAAGAGGTCGTATCTTTTGGTTTATGAACACCGAAGACCATTTGGCATACGATTTGATGACAAAAGTGCAAACTATTCAGACATTCAGACACCTTAACGCATTTAGCACTGCGATAAAAAAAAAGAGAAGAGATGTGGAAAAAGAAATGCTGCTGGTGTAGTTTAAGGGGAAGCTGTAATTCCTGCCACATGCGAGTTTACCGAGGCGTTGCGTTTTGATTTTTTGTATCTATGCCTGCGACAAATTCAACTTGTTGCAATATTTGTTGCCACACATCAACGTTGCGGTCTATACATGTCTTCAGAGAAAGTGGAACTTGTGTTTCTAATTTTAAAATATAAAAAACTTTTTTTTAGTTTTTGATATTATACTCGCACTGCTATATACATTATTACCTTAAACGTTGTCTTTGACAACATGCAATTTTTATATTCTTTTTATATATAATTTTTTTTTGGAAGCTTTTAATAGTAAATTGTGTTAATTTGCATCGAATAAGACGTATACACAAATCAAGCTAAATGGTAAAAAAATGGCGTGACTTTTTTATTATCAAAAATAAAAAATAAACTTGCTAAAAAATAATAGAGCTACTTAATTTTAGCGAATAGTTGCTTTAAATATATATTAATTTAAATTATTATTTACTGAAATTTTTAGGTGTTTGGTTTGCCTTTTATGGTAGCTACTCGAGCATTGATCTGTGCGTGGGTGCTCTTTGCCGACTTTTAACAACACTCTGGTATTTATTCGTTTTAATGTGAAAAAAAAATCAAATATCTAAAATATATGCTATCGCAACAGTTTATATGCATATAATGGATTAGTTTTTTAGAGGCAGTAAACAATTATAAACTTGCTTTGTAATTGCTTTTCATATGTGTAGGCCGTTCGCACAAATACTCAAATTTGCTATCTTTGCGGTCTTGCAACGCTGGAGGTCGTTTATTTTTCACACTTATTCTTATCTATAATCTCAGATCTTAGTAAGACTATTTAGAATATATGTATAAATCTTTTCAAACATTTTGATTGTACTTATTCGAGATATTTTCAGGTTCGTTAACCCTGAACAATTAGCAAGTATTTTTAAATCTGTTCAACGGCTGGTTAAAATTTGAAACCAATAATTTGATTTAAATATCGAATTTTATTCCAGTGTTTTTAATTATTTTTGTACATATGTGGAAGTGATTAAAAATGTATCGCCTACAGTAGTTTATTTTGGTTTCTTAAGCTATGACTTTTTTGTAATTTATTTCGTATTTTAATTAAAACAAATATCATTTCAAAACTGTATATGAAACATATATATAATTATTAATATATTTTAAATATCTTTTTGACTGAAAAGTTGATAAATAAATAAAACTACCGACGATCGCGTCGGTAGTCGATTTGTTTATAATTATTGATAAAACATAAATTCATTTCAATTTACTTTATATAGCCAATATTAAGAAAGTTATTTGGAAAACTACTTTTAATATTATCTATTACCTGTGTCTTAAAATTAGTTTACCATTATTTTGAATTCGTTCTTATATTCGAATTTAACTTAATCTGCTGAAAACTCTATTTATATATTTGTATCACTCATTCCCTTCTTCACTTCTTTGTATTCATTACATTCTTTCTGGATTTTTAAACACTTGCTAACATTCATTCCTACGAAATCTATTCGTTTTATTTTGTAACATAACGAATAATATTTTGTAATATAATATATATATATAATATATATATATAATATATATATAATATAATAATATTTGTATGAGAGCTGTAATATCGTATTAATGAGCTTTAAAAAAACAATGAAGCAAGCACTTCGCTCTCACTATGCTTGAAGCGCTTTAAAAGCGCTTCAAATCATCACTTTCAAATCATGTAACAGGAGACATGCACCGAAAGTGTTTATTTAAAGCGTTCTGCATAGCGCTAACGGAGAAATCGGAGAAAAATATTAATATTATACATATTATACTATTTATAGGTACTATTACCCAACTGCCTGTGTGTGGTAAACGAGAAACTATAATTTAAGGGCGCATATTTTCGAGGATCTTGTCCAGCTTCAAGAGCTACTTCTAAAGAACATTTTAACTTTGCCAAAGGTTCAAGTTGATTTTTATACTTTTGAGTTCTTATACAGTAACACAAAACGCCTAAGAAGATCCTTAGGAACGGTTAACTTAACCTAATGTATAAATTATATATATATAATTTATCTATGAATAAGTTGATATTATATTTAAGCAAATTTCACCATCTTTCAAATTTTCAGATTTATCAGCTGATTGACCGATTTACAGTATTGATTTATTTGATCAATGAATTAATTATTATTTTTTAAGTATCTTGCAAGTTTTTGAACTAAATTGGTTATATTAAAAACACCAAATTGAATATTTCCAATGAATAATGTAGATTTGTTATCAAATTTTAGCTATATTGCAAGTTACATCAGATTATTGATCTAAATTTATGCCGTTAAAGGCACAAACAAAAATCTATGATTTTATATCATACATACGAGCGGCATTTGCCTTAATGGAGTGAGAATGGAGAGTCAAGGGATTTCAGTCAGTGGTTAAGGAAACGGACACAGTATTTAGTTTATCATTTATTAATAAGAATTTAAACTATTTTATGTAATATCAAATATTTATGAATCATATACCAATAGTACACATTTATATATAATACTCATGTTTTTTAACACTTACCGCCAAGGTTTTCATAAGCTTAAACATAGTTATATTTTGTGTAGTAGGCATAGCGTAATTTTTTAAGAAATTGAAGTTTATAATAACTATTTAGGTTAGAATATTTGTATTAATTAAAAACTTAATTTGTATCAATATTTCTATAGGTCTGTACATAGGTGATAAGATAAGTTTTATAAATGAACATTTTTGCTATAAATCTTAAGATATGTTTTGCTAGAAGAAGATAGCAATATAGAATATATGAAGGTGCTTTTATTTTCTGTTAGATATCATTACTCAATGTGTTCTTTATGTCCTACAAATTAAGGAGCCACAGAAATCTTATGTGGTACATATTATTTTTAACATATCTTTGAAAGTACTTTGAAGATATTTTTGTTGATTTTGCTTTGTGAAAAAAGTAGAAAAAATTTAAAATATTTAAATTTAAACTAAAACGATATAGAATTAAATAAATCTAAATCGTTTCAAACACTTTTGGTGATTTATTAATCTATTTGAAATATGTTACATTAAAATGGTGTTGAAGGAGGGCCAAAAAAATAAATATGTTTACTTGATAAGATCTTAGAAAGTAGTAACTGTTTATAAATATGTATAAATCCAATTTGACTAAAGAAGAAAAATATGTAGCAGGTCTATATTAACAACTGCTATTAACTGTGGTTTCGCTTTCAAAAGATTGAAGCGAATTATGCATACATTATGAAATATTATCATTGTTCACCTTTTTATTTAGTGAGATTAGGTTAAATTGGAGATCCTAAGAATCCACTTAGACCTTTTGTTCTATTGTGTTACCGTGTAACTATGTGTAATGTTTGACAAAGCTTAAAATACTTAAAATACTTAGAAGGATCCGGTAAGCGGTGGGCAGTAATAAAGCAGATTGGATTTATTCGATTTATATCGGCTATGTTTTGTCAGCAGACCTACCACAAGGCTGATATCTTTACGGGGCATTTCAATGAGAGTACTTTTTTTTAACAATAGGGTCAACTTGCATACAGATGGCCACGTATAGTTGAGTCTACTCATCCTTTGTTAATATTTTATTAATTAATAAGTGTTTATTAAGTATGTGTAAATTAAAAAAAAAATTAATATAGAGTATCTAATAATGCCAATGTTTTAAAAATGAGTTTCAAAAATTGGTGGTTAATTTAGCGCTAGTCAATGTTAATGAAGTTTAATTTAACATTTGAAAATTCAATAATATTTACTAAATTTCTAAAGCTTTTGCTTTAAAAAAGTTGAAAGGAAAAATCTTAACTACTTCATTTTACAGGTAGAATTTCTTTATCATTTGATAACAATTGAAGGTAGATTAAATTCTTTACAAAAGCAAACTGAAATTATTTCTTTCTTTAGTGCAGAATATGGTATAAAATACATTTAATATACAATACGTGTTTAGCTATTTTTTGAGATATAAATTATAAAGTTGAACTAAATCACATTAGCAGAAGGTAGTTCTATTTCAAATCGCTATACTTCGACAAGTTTAAACAAAAATTGAACATTTGTGAGATAAAAGCATTATTTTTTATTTTATCACAGTGATTTTTTTTAATAGTATGGTCTTGTTATATACTTAACATATTATCAGTTAGAACAATTCATATCTTAAACTTTTTGATGGAAAACGAACAACGCCCTTTTTTAATTTTTGAATTTTAATTCCGATAAGCCTTACAGATACTTTTGTGCAGTAATGATCGTAAGGAATCGGTAGGCACATAAGCTAGACATAATTAGGAGCTTAAAACAATCATACAAGAAGTGAACATTTTTTAATATATTTCAATGAGATAAGAATTTAATTAATCATATATGAGGTTGGATATGTAGATACTATGAACAAGTCATTTGAAAGGACTTCAAATGTGGCGTTCTCCAAACACGTTAAACCATACAAATACAAAGAAATTATTAGTCATTTTAGTCATTTTTCTGTTTTGTTTATTGTGCCTATGAAATCATTTCTGCAGCAGATAATGAATTTAATTACTTGATTAAAAAAATGATGTAATTTCTTTATATAATATATATATATACTTTCAAAATAGTTTGCTTAACAATTTTAACAAATTTTAAATAGAACAACTGTATATTAATTTGCTAAGCAAATAATTTAAGTATCCATCCAACATGTATATAATGTTTTTTTTTTTACAAAGTCTGTGTTTTATTGTTTGCATTAAGTGTCAATTTCAACAGGTAAACACACATTCAGAGAATTGTTATCAAAAGCGTTTGGCACTACGAAAAGGCGGTTGACAACTTGTTGCATGCTTGCACTTTTTACTCCTTTGAAGTATATAATATTACATTAATTTACATAATAGATTTTTGCAAATAAAAGGTATGCGTACTCATATATTTTTAAGTTTTTGTATATAATTTTATAAAATTTACTTTTTATTTATTTTCTTGTTATTTTTGCAACATGGCTAAGTTTGAAAATTAAAGAAATATTTTTATTCCCTTTTTTGGGTGTTGGACTCATATAACACACACCACGCTCATTTGCACAAATGAGACGCATTTTTAAGGCAGTAGCTACGCTGCTCACACTAGTATAAGCACAAGTTTAAAATAATTCGTGTGAAGCGCGTACGAATAAAAAAAATCTTAAAAATAAAAAACACTTTCCGTCTTTGCCACTTTATAACGTTCGGCTTGCGGCCGTGATTTTATAATAAAAATAATAATTTATTAAAATTACTTCTTTTCAGAATTAAAAAACACAATTTGTTTACACTTTTTAAATTCTACTACAATTATAATACAAGTAAACACACACATAAATTCCAATTAAAATCATATACTTTTGACAATTTTAATTGCTTACATTTATTTTAACTCACATTTGTTATTTTTATGTTATATCAGAGATTAAACTATTATTTATAAATATATTAATATTATTTACTATTGGCGAATACGAATTAAATTTGTAATATTAAAACTCAAAAATTAAACCGAGATTTATTAAAAATATCAAAAGAAACGAAGAAACAAGAAAAATCGCCGACGGACAAAACGAGACTGAAAAAGCAGATATTGAAACAGTAAATTTAGGCAGCACTAGATATTAACGGCGATGACAGTTCAAACAAATAACCAAAGCAAAATGCGCACATCGCCGCTGCCGCATTTAAATGTATTTTTATACAATGACTAAAATAATATACAATCAAAAACGTAAAATTCGAACATTTTAAATCGAAGAAGTGGCAAAGTGTAGAAGTAGTGTATAGAAATACATCAAAATTTTCAAATATAAAAACAAATAAAGAAAACATTTTTTTTTTCAAATTTAATCATAATGAATTCGCTTTTAATTCTGACATACATGGTTGCATTTTGCTTAGAATGAAGTTACGATATATATGCCATTGTATGCATTTCACGTAGCACAAGTTGTTGTTATCTTAGACATCTAGACCAGCTTCGTTAATATTAGGGATATTCAAAATCTCTGTGCATTATTGCAAAGTCAAATAATCGTGAATGTATTTTGAACATATTAGTCTTGCATATATTTAGAACAAATGATTTTTGTTTTTGTATTTATTTACTTGTAAAATATAACTCAGGTTCGATACATATAATTTTAACGATGCCAAAAAAAAGTGAAAAGCAGAATATACTGAATATGTAAAAAATTGTATTTTGTATTGCTTAAATTTATGGATATTATTCACAAAATCGCTCATTTTTACTTAATTTTATATTATAACATCAGTCTTACTTATAATAAGTGTATTCGGCAGCTCCGAAGTATAGTAAAAAACAATAAGTCACTTGCTTAAGTCGCTAAGTGATATATTTACATCACTGTTACATTTTGTCAAATGTTATATTTTCACATAGAGGAAATCTTAGATATGTGCACATAATGCAAGCAAACTCCTTTTTATATAAAAATAAATAATTAATATAAAATTAAAAATTAAATTGAATAATGAAGTAAACGTTATGATCAGAATATACAAAATTTTGAAATGTTCTTTTATAGCAAAATTGAAAATAGTTAAGAACATTATTAAAACATTTATTAATATATATATTTTATATAACTATAAACATGTTAGCAGTTAATTAAGTTAAAAAATTAAGATGCTTTCTAAATATACAGTCTTCATGCATTCCTAAATATTTTTGTAAATTTATTTTCCACAAATTTCCACATTTTCAAAATATTTCAAATTTGTGAAAGTTTTGTATATTTGTTTACATAAATTTGGCATGTAACTGGAATTATTATAATAAAAAAAAACATTTAGTTAGTACTAATAATACTATTAGTGGCATTAGTTGCTTTTTCATCGCTGTTTTTAATATGCTATTTTTATTAAGTATTATTATGCCCATGTAGTTTTATTTAATAAACACGAAAGAATACATCATAATCAATAGTGTATGTTCAGTATATGAAATTATAATTAATAAATGAATTGACAACTAAGCGGCGTAAAGTAGAAATTCGTTAAGAAATATTCTATTCAACACATAAACCTAATTTGTCTTGAATATTGGTAAGGCAGTAAGTAATGTATCTATAATAAGTACGATATTTAGTGACTTTAAGACCGTATGCGTAGAAACGTTCAAAAGTTAAGCATACAATAAATTTCTGTATAGTTTTAGGCGAGAACACTTAACAAAAATTTATAATGAATATGTGTTTGCTAGTAGCTTGTAAATTCTCAAATGGAAGCATAGTTTTAAGAGTTTAAATTAATTATTTTTCAATATTTTTGCTTAAAAGATATTTTCATATTGTGTAAAAATAAAAATAATAAAAACTAGATAAATTTTATCCTTTGGCCGTTTTCTCATTACATGTATATAAAATATCAATAAAATGTCTTATTTAACTTCAAATATGATATTTTAATGACATTTAAATTTAAATAATCTGTTTAATGTCAAAACAGATGTGAATCGTTGCTTCATAATCCTCAAACTTTTAGTAAGATTTCCCTCCCCAAAAACATGATATTTTGTAAATACATCGAAGAGAAAAATTAAAAAGTAACATTACCATGAAGCTAACTCTTCACCCTGAACAGAAGTGTCCATAATGTCTTAACCAATGTATTATATCAAAACTATAAATTTACATGTAAATAGGGCAAGAGGGAATGATTGCATTTAACTCGGTAAACATCAGCAAGATTCTTGTCGTTGTTCTTTACAAGTTGACTCACAACCTCCAAGTTAGTCCCTCTGAATAGCTACAATAAACAATGTGTGGTGAACTAATGCGTGCAGTCAAACGTTGCTCAAGAATATATGAAGTTATGCGTCGGGCTTGGCACCTACTATATAAAATACCGCTCCAATAAAAACGAAAAGGAAACCTCGAATTAAGACATCATATGCTATTGGCGAGTCACGCAAACGTTATAATAAATATTATTTAAAATTGTTAACTGAAATATATGAACTCTATACAGAGAAAGTGTATTTATACATTTGGTTAATATAGTCAGAAAATACAAGGCTAACACTGCCGCTCCGCAGAAAATGCAATGTACGAGTTAAGGTTACTCTGAAACCACAAGTTGCGACATCTTCTACTGCTGCCATGCAAAAAATCACGGATTTAGTGTCGGACTTCCGATAAACTGAGAAATTTGATCTCAACATTAATACCAATCGATGCAAGCCTTGCTCAAATCCATATTAAGGCAACATTTTTTTATATCAACTTAATATGTGCATATGCCCTGACGGATGATAAAATTGACAATACCCAGAAGGTTTTCCATAAACAGCTTGGTCAAGAACGTGAATGCTGTCGGCATCATAGCATCAAAATGAAAAAATGCTAATTGATTGTGGATACTTTAATAACTATGTAATGATGACATTTTCGGGTTGGGGGTTGTGGGAATCTTATTGAAGATATTATATAGTATTATAAGCGAAGCATTGATTAATATTAATGAAATGTAACAATAAATAATTGTAATTAACATAATGATGGCTAATATTTCATTTAATAAGAATGTCTAATCAATTGAAAACTTCATTATGACTTAACGCTATCATCACCTAACAGAGGACACATTTTGGCTATGAAATAAAATTTAAAATATAATATTGTAACTATCAACTGTAAAGTGAATATTTAAATTAAAAATCTGTCACCAACAAAAGTTTAATTAAGACAGAACAAAAAAGAAAATATTCTAAAAGAATACATTCCAATAGACTGTAGTCATGCTTTCAGTGTCTTAGATGTAGTTATTATCCGGTGAGCCAACATCGTCTTAGATCATTACCTTTGCTGCAGCGAAAACCCGCCCTGGATTTTATGTGAAGAAAAAAGAAAGGTGAACAAATACAGCAAAGGCTAAGAATTGAGTCAACACTGTTGAATCAATGAAAAAAATGAGATCACCATTATAGTAATTGAAGAGAAACCGATTGCTGTTATGTCTCTTAAATATGAATAAGTGGCGTACACATTTTCAATAAGTAAAATAAAATAGTATAAATCTATGAAATATAGATAACTTCATTTAGTAGAGTACATGAAGAAAAAGTCTTTTTTCATGAAATATGATGAAGTATTTTGAAATATAATTAAAATTTTGGCTTAAGTGCATATCGGAATAAAATGCACAATATGGCACGATCACTCATTGTAATTATGCATGCACCATATGTCGGAATATTTACAAATGTATTAACCAGCCACAGTACCTCGAGCAGCAGATAAACACCCTCAAATAGATTTCTCTAAATTTAGCACAACATATGACAGTGCGGTAATAAAGGAATAAGGACACGCGCCAAAATTGTTGAATAGTAATAAGAGCGGGGTAAGAAGGTAAGATCATGAAAATATCAGAACTTTCAGCTGTATTCTCCATCTATTGACTGATGTGCTCATTTAGTAAATGGAAAATTCTTTTGATTATTCTTTAAAATGCAAAATGCCACAATTATTTAAGTGGGTGCATTGTTAATACCAACAGTTACAGCTGCCAAAATCGGTTCCATTAGCCAACGGTTGAGCTTAGGGTTAATATGCTAATTTTCCTCCCGTATCCCATGCGCTATTTTTCCTCATGGTCAAAATGTCCTTCGGCTCTTAATAAGCCACGCATGCCACAAGAGTCTAAATTTCGTGAATATTTATGCTTTTAGCTTTAATAAATAAATTTTGTCATTTTGCTGTGGTATTTTTGGGTTGTTACAGTTGCTGTTATCAGGAAAACACGATCGTTGTTAGTTAACTAATTTCAATTTTCATAGCATTCTATTTTTTCATTTGAGTTAAATTTAGTTTAAAATTCAAATTCTCCATGCGCCCATCCGATTATTCCTTTACGCACAGCTGTTGTTACATTATTAGCCTCCCTCGCATATTTCACGTCATAATAAATACAACATTTAACACGATTCAAACAACTGTAACGTAATGTCCTTAGAAATTTATTTTCGTCCTTTTTCCTTTACAAAGGATATACACACTTTTGTATAAATTATATATACGGAAATAAATGTACAGAAATAGATTAGCACTGATCATACAACGATCTGTAACGAGTCAACACTGCAAATGCAATGTTATTAAAGTATTAGTTGCTACGAGTAGCGCTAATGACGGAATTGTCTGTCATACCCATCAAGTTTATACCCCTACATTAGTTGGGTTTTATATATAAATTAATATTGTTTTGACCATATATTCGCTTAAGCTATGTTAAGTTCAGATAGGCTTAGCGAAAAGACCAGCGATATACAGTTAATCAGTTATTTTTTAATAATTGAAATACATACTAAAGTTATATTAAATTCAAGAATACAATTTAAAAAGTAATATATGGGTTAGCTTCAGCCGTCTGTCAACCTGAGAATCTAGTAATCTGTAGCTAGTTAATTAATT